TACACACACACACATACACACTCATGTGTCTCTAAATGAAATATGTATTTCATTTACATAATCTCGCCAAGTTGCTAAGGCTGGCTTTGAATCCAATATATATTTTGTAAAAATTTATAATTACTTTCCTTTACAATAAATATTTTAATTACAGTATTTTGGTATAATGTACTATAGTATATTAGTGTACTACTTTAACTCAATTATATACATACATGCACAGTATACATGTACTGTACTCATGTACAATAAACATTATGTTATTCATAGGAAATAGTACTTTGAGCATATGGTCTATATATCCAGGCCAAAAAAAAAAAAAAAAAACAGCCATAAAATCTATTAAAGATTTAAATTTTACTTTCAGTGGAGCTGCAGGATGTGTGATAAGACAGCACTCAGTGTGATGAAACCTCTTGACCTTGACTTGCCCCAAGAAGAGGCTGATGAAACTTACTCTGCAGAAGAGTAAAACATTTATGAGGGTGACACGTTAACATCTGTTAGTGCTACCTCAAGAGCTTGACTCGCCACTTGTTGACAGTATCAGGAATTTTCCCTCCAAAAATGGCTTGAAACTTTATCAGCCCTGTTTGACTTTTCACTTTAAGCATTCCACACAAGTGAAGTTGGGGCATCAATCTGAAGTTGCATTTAAGCATAGGGTCGTATTCTTAGATGTCATTGAACATTTTTCCAAGGCAGAATTCCAGTTTGATTTTTTAGCTGCTGTGAGAAGGACAATTTATGGAATCAGGCTGACTTTTTCACTATCCTGTCATTACTGGCTTCAGTGCCTCATTTTGCATCTTGTCTGTGTCTTCTTTGGTGGGTTCTAGGGCCTTTCCTGCCAAAGTGTTCTCCATATTTTCATGTCATTGAGGCCTTTTCTGCTTACTTGCCTTGCACTGTGCATTCTGTTCGATACTGTTCTTCCTACTTTTTATAATTTTTTCAAAGCCTTCAAAATGCTTCATGTGGTCCAGTTACTCAAATAGTTTTCCAACAATCATTGATAGTGGCTTGTTGAGCCAATCCCAGGCTTTGCCAGCACTATAACTATTTATAGTGACTGACTTACATTGGTCTTTCATGGTGGTTTCCTAGGTGATGAGAGCCTTGCAAGACTTGCTGTAAAGCTCCCTCGTGTTGAAACATTTTGGAAGCTTTTTAAGTGTGCCCTGGTGTTCCCTGATTGAGAGATTGGATAACAAATATAGCCTTAGGGTCATGAAAAGAACACCTAGTTTGGGGTGAGAATTTTCAAGTTCTTGATGACAATGGAACAGGGCATTATCCAAAATTAAAACCTTGAAGACAGGTTTTTGCCCTGAAGACAGCATTCAGCTTTGTAGGGTATGATGTAACATGTSGGGCATGTTGCATCAGAAAAGAGGAAACCTAACTTGCTACCCGCTTCCCTGTCCTAGGGCCACATGTGGCTAAGATAGCACCTGACWGTCAGCCAGAAGGTGTTGCCGTGGGTGTGATGAAAAATCAGACCACCTCTAGTATATGCTCAGAACCCTTCGGCCCTCGTGGACAGCTCGTGTCTCCCATTACAGCCTGTAGGATGGGTGTACACATGAACTCGCCCCACTCTGCTGACCTTTATCCTGATTGGCTCCTGTACATTATATTAGCTGTGTGTGTTTTCTCAATAAACTGAGATCCTGCTTTATCCTGATTGGCTCCTGTACATTATATTAGCTGTGTGTGTTTTCTCAATAAACTAGATCCTGCTTTGACTGGTCTCCCAACTGATTGTCCTCTAGTCGGGGAGGGCTGAGTGGGACGGTCAGTCGACCTTTGTGACCTTTGCCTTTCTTGGCTTGCCCTGGTTGGGGCATGCTCTCCCCAGTCTCTCCTGCAGGTCAGGAGGGAACGGGAGGGTGGGGGGCTAAAAACCCCGACACAGCTTCTTGAATGAAACTGTTATAAATCCAATCACAGAATCTTTAAAAAAAAAGATTTTAGTTGTCGAGGGACATTTTATTTATTTGTTTATTTAGCCTCACACGTTAGGCAAGTGCTGTACCACTTGAACTACAACCCCAGCCTAATCACAGAATATTTTTGAGGTCACTCATATTTTTTTGTTCCACTTACAATGGACTAGAATGCAGTTCAAATTTTTCCCTTTAAACTCCTTGGAATTTGGGATTCTATACACCAATAGAGATTTGCACAAAAGAGTCACCATTGCTATTGACACAATTGCAAGACTGCACAATATTCAAATAATAAAAATCAAGAACTTTGGAGGCCATTTGGTTCATTTGCCAAYGATCTGGATCAGCATTGATACCTACTTTTCCATATAAGCCTTTTCCTGTGTAGCACTGATTATTCAAATATTTCTACAGCTCTTTGATCTGCTAGTTTCACTTTTTTTTTCGGGGGTGGGGGCGGGTATGGGGATTGAATCCAGGGGCCCTTTACATTTTTGCTTTAATGTCTTCCAGTTTCACTGCCTTTGTCACTCTGAGCCTATTTTGATTGATTGCTTGCTTTTTCATCTCATTTTGGATTTATTTTCCTGCTTCTATATACCCATTTATTTTTTATTGCATGTCAGRTATTGTGGTTTGAGAGTTTATATTCTTGTAAATGTTCTTGAGCTTTGTTTTAAAACACGGTTAAGCAATTGGGAAGCAATTGGACATTGCTTGGAAAGCATGTCCTTTTGGGACTTTCACTTAAGCTTTTTTAGGAAAGACCAGAGAAGTGTTTCATTTAGGGCTAATTTTCCCATTGCTGTGATGAAATTCTGGAGAATTTTAATGATGCTATATGAATTGAAAGGTTTTTCTATTTTGATAGTAGAACAGACAGTAATTGGGGGCATTTGTGCTATCTGGGAATTTTTCTTTTTCTTTTTTTTTTTTTTTTTTTTTTGGATGTAGAATCTCACTAAGTTGCCCAGATAGCCTCAATCTTGTGACCTCCTAAGCCTCCTGAGTCACTGGGATTACAGGCAAGCCACCACTCCCAGTTCTCACTTGTCTTTTTGATCATTCTTTTCCTGCTCTGTGGTAGTTTCCTCACACGCTCATTGGTTCTTGAATGAAGACAGGAAGGGACCCTTTGCAGATCTCTGAGGTGCTCACATGTACGGTTTTCTCTGTTGTTCTGGCTGTGAATGCAAGGTGCCTCAGTCCCCCCACCCCATATTTGTAAATCCATCCTCTCACCTGAGGGGATTTCCACATTCCATCTGGGTTGCCTTCCCATTGGTATTTTCTCCAGCAGAAAGAAATGTGACAATGGTAGGGCTCAGTTACTTTGTGCCCATCCCTCAGGGATCACTGTCCTTTGCTTGGCACACAATATATTCGGAACTATTTTTCATATACTATGTGTGCCTTTATAGCTTTTTGAAGCAAGAGAGTTGTTGTACATGGAATATTTTGACTTTGGAAAAGTTGCTTGACATAGGAAATTAATTTAAAAATAAAAATGTGAGGGCTGAGGCTGGGGCTCAKCGGTAATGTACTTTCCTGGCATATGTGAAGGACTGGTTATGATTCTCAGCACCACATGTAAATAAAGTTTTATCAACAACCAAATACATATTTTTAAATAAATAAATAAAAATTTGAATATAATTGATTCAGCAAAATCTATATACTAGCTGAAGATACTTCCCTAAGCCAATAGTTGTAACTTTCAGATAAGAATAGAACAACTCTGGGGCTGGGGATATGGCTCAACCRGTAGCACACTCGCCTGTCATGGGCGGGGCGCTGGGTTCAATTCTCAGCACCACATAAAAATAAAATAAAGATGTTGTGTGCACTGAAAACTAAAAAATAAATATTAAAAATTCTCTTTCTCCCTCTCTCTCTCTCTCTCTCAAAAAAAATAGAAAAACTCTGGGGTTGGGGTTGTGGCTCAGTAGTAGAATGCTCACCTAGCATGGGTGAGGCCCTGGATTCAATCCTCAGCACCATATAAAATAAATAAAGGCATTGTGTCCATCTGTACCTAAAAAAATAAATATTTTTTTAAAAAAGAATAGAACAACTCCTAGGTAGACTTTCTGGGAAGAAAAAAGGTATCCTCAGATATTAAGAGCTATGTGGTGGGGAAAGTATACTAACTTTCACCTCCAGGGACAGAATTGCACATAGGTTTCTGATCAGTTGGTGCTACAGTTCTAATGAAATTCTCTCTACCACCCTGAGTTGTACTTGGGTACCTGATCTCAGGTCCTCTTTTCCTAAATATAACTCCTGACTCCTAACTGCAGACAACATGGAGGGTCTGCCTGGAATGAGAGTAAAAGTCTACAAAAGTCACATGGGGTTCACATACTTAAGCATATAAAGAAAGGTAAACATAAGTCATCAGGGTTCAAATTCTTTGTGTGGTCAGCCATGGTTAGTTCCTGTAAAAGAGCCTTCATTCCATAGGTGAAGAGACCTTTTACTCTTTCCACAACCTTAGCCTCTGGTCATCTCTGGGATTTTTAACTCAGAAGCTAACTTTAGGGGCTGGGAGATGTTTTCTAAGGAGA